GTGACTTTCCTGCTGAGATTCCGGCCGCGGTATTTGTACCCCTCAGAGGGATTCAAACATGAGTCTCCATACAAGTTTGGGTAAAACACCGAATATCTCCCTCACGAAACACCGCTCAGACTTGAATCTTTGCGAGAGGTTCGAAAATGCATCTTATTTTCTCTCTTTGATTCTTGACTCTGTCTGTTGGATGGTTTTGATGATGGTGTGACAGTGAAAAGCCCGACCATAAGCAGCTACTGTCCTGGTTATCAGTAATTTAATCAAGAAGCCTGTCTTTTTTTAAGCTTTTAATCATTCGAATAGTAAATTGCCAAGCGATGGAGAAGAGAGGCCGAACGAGAGTTTGTTTTGTAAACGCCAAGATAGGCAAGATTCAAAACGGTGGGGTCCACAGTTGAATACAATTTTCAATGGGTAAGGTTGCTCCTTGGAATATCAAACGGTTATCAGGGCGATGATTTTATAAACACTTTCGAGATGCGTATATAAAGGCCACATGTTTTCACTCGAATAATGCGTGAGTAACTTCTGCTTCCGGTAAATCTCGTTTTGGTGTGGGTGACTTTCTTAGAAAGATATCAGATTCCATGCCAAAAACATGTCTTCGTCCGATTTAACTTCGCGCAACTCTGAAGAAGAAGGCTTGTCTGACTGCGATGAAGCTTTGGATGAAGTAAAACAACGCATCAAAGAGGCTTTCGATATCTTGAAGCGTGAAACGAGAAAAGCTCGCAAGGAAAAGCGATCGCTTGACAAGGTTGCAAAGAAGTTGGAGCACGTCCATTTTTCGACAATGGTGCAACTTAACGTCGGTGGTCACCAATTTTCAACCAGTGTGTCAACAATGAATAGAGATCCAGGTACGGTTTTATTAAAGCTGTCTTGGTAAGATTTCCGCACAATCACTTTTGTAAAAAAAAACGTTACTCCCGAAGGCAATTTATTGTTTTCCCCATTGTTAATCCGGATCTTAGAGATGTATGCAGAATGAATTATGGGTCTGTGCAGAAATCTTACCACAGTCTGTATCGTATATGGCCACATGACGAAATAGGGTGGAGGTTTTGGCTGAATTTCTTTATTCAACATTGGAATTATACATGTCAGTGATTATATTGTATCAAATGGGAAAAAAATCAAATGTGAACACGAAGGACCATAGTGACCTCTATTTTTGAATTGTTTTATTTCGTTTGTATGCTTAAGGCCGGGTTATTCAAAGGTGGGTGAAGAAAACTCAGGATTAATGTGAAATTTGATTTCAGATCTGAAAAACAACGAAAGTCAAGCCTTCCACTTCTAACAACGTAGGGAATAGTAGTCAATTTCCTCTTTTTTATGCTTTCGTGATGGTTCATTCATGCTGTGTTATTGGTTGTACGGCAAGGTGGAGTGGCAGTGAGAAAGGATTTTTTAGAATTCCTTCGGAAAAAGAACTGATTTATAAGATCAATTGTTCCGACTTGCAAGCCTCCTACATCGGTGACACTGGCAGAAACCTCACAACAAGACTGACAGAACACAGACGGGCGACGAAGAAAGGTAATGTCAGCAATCACATTGCTGAACACCATCGACTTATCAACCACAACATTGACTGGGACTCTGCGCAATGCCTAACCTACAGCACTGACTATTTTCAACGACTGACTCTGGAATGCTGGTTTACTAACTTAGAGAAGACTCCCCTAAACAGATGTCAACAACTACCCGCTCTATACAAACGACTCATTCACGACATAAACATCACAAACGACGAAAAAGAACGACCTAACTTTACCGACAGATCGAAACAGACCAATCACGGCCGACTTACGTCACTTGAGTCTTACAGCCAAGAACATCACGGCAAAACCAACCGATCATTTCACACGAACTGGAATAAGAACATTCTACTGACAACAATCATTCAGTTGACTCTGATGATGACTTCCGCACAGGTTGTCGAAACGTCAGTCACTACCACCGACAACAGTCCTTTTCAGGACTACACTCACCCGGACGATCAGACTACACCTTCACATGTTACCCCCGGGTTCAAGCCATTTACTGCATAAAGCTTCCTTTATAGCTGGAAAAGAAAATCATGTTATCGTTTGTAAAGGCAGCTATGGGTCACTGTTTGGATATAATGGACTAGATCTTTACACATCGTCGATGCACCCAACTTCAACAACTGCAGCTCAAACCTGACCTGTTGTCAGTGCCCACCAGGTCAGAGTATAAACTCTTTCCTAGCAGGTCAGAACTTCAGGGTGAATGAAATGGAAGTGTTTGGGTTCTAGAAATGTGACTTTGCAATGTTTTGCTCTATGCTCTGAGACTGACGTAAAGTCAACCATATTTTAATTTTTTTTGTAATCCTATCTCTGCACGTGATAGCTAATAGGTTAAATGCTACCAGAATTTTGAGTTGTAAAACAGAATAGACAATACTTAATTAAAAACATGAAAGATCAAACCCTGGTGATTGGTTATCATAAGGTAGATAGCGTGCGCTACACTCGCTGCTTTTGAGCGCTTAAAAATTGCAAGAGAGCAATGAGTGGATATTGGATTTCGTGACGCTGAACTTTTATTTCCGCAAAACTAAGGAATAAAACGACATGAATTATAAACATATGTGACATTAAGTTGATAAACCCTTTCAGACGTCCGGTGTTCCGGCTGATAATGTCTCTGGCTGAGATATTGTCTGAAAAATTAATATTTGGCCCAGAAGCAAAGCTTCGAAGGCAAATGTGAAAATTTGAGGACAACCTCTCAGCCGAAGACATTACCACTCAATCATACAAAAGAGCACATAAATTCGTTTGAGTTCAGTCTCGTCAACCCGAGTGGTCTGTCACCATCAGTTAAATGACTTTGAGGAGTGGACAAGACGTATGTGCTATGGTTTGTGAGTAAAGACCAAAATTTGAAAGTAAATTGTCAATGCACCAAATTACAACAACTGCTCCACAAAATTGAACAACACTTAACAATTACAATGCTCATCACACTTTTTTTAACAGGAAGTAAATACTTCAGGTTGAGGTTAATGTAAAATTTTGAGTGATAGACGCAAAACGAGTTTTGTCGCCTAAACCGATAATGGTCTGTAAACTATAGTCTCTCGTTAATTTCTTTTCCACAGTTGCTCAAATGCTTTCGACTTGAGAAACAGCAACAAAAAGAAACTGAAGAAAAATATTCATAGAAAACATTTAAATGCGTGTTTCTTTAATTTGATGTATCACTGTATCTTTCGAACGACTATTAAATACTGGTTATTGAGACCTTCCCATTGTCTTTAGCTTAGATGATGGCGTGCGCCTATAAATGTTCGTGGTTCTGATCAAATCCATATGTTTGTGAACCTTGGGTTAAATAAAGCTATTGATATTAATAAATAACATCAAACAGAGATCTCTCCCAGACCTTTCTTTCCGTTGTAACATCACCTGTACTTCTTCCCTTTCTTTGAGGCCCCGGCACCCTGTATTCACCACGGCTACTGAATGTATTCGTGCTTTATATTAAAATATTGGAAAGGTATATAACCAGAAGTTCGAGGGGAAAGGGTGCTATTTGTTTTACATTCTCGCACGTGAAATCCAAATGATGCTCTCACGACTTGTGAAGCATTCTCGACGGATCGCTACATTGCGCTTTTAAATTTTGCACTGTCACATTGCGTTTATCACAGGAATTGCGAAACTCTGCCACGTCGGTTAGCTTTTGGTTTCTACAACTTAGCTGATAATTTGGATTGCGAACTGCTAAGAAATTCTTAAGATGACGTTTCGGGTAGCCCTTCGTCAGAGAAAACTCGAAACGCCAGCCTTAGAACATCTCCACGGTGGCCTACTAACATTAGAGAGATTTAGCACCACGTTTACGTGAAACATAAACCGCAGAGTGACCACGTGACCTTGTTTTCCCGCCATTTTTCACGTTTACCAGTCACGTTTTGCCGTTTCCACGTGAATGAAACTTGTTTCGCGTTTGCCATGTACGAAAGGTTTTCTTCCTTTTTCTCATATAGAGTAGAAGTTAATGGCCATAGAAAAGGTCACTAAAACTATTCCTTGTAAGTCATACAAGGCCGCCTTTATTATCCACCATAACGGGTCCGGAGCTCACGCAAAGTTAAAGCAGCAGGGTTCACGCTATTTTACCTGTGAACTATTCGTCCTGCCCGAAGCTATTTCTAAAATAAATAACTGAGCTCGACACGCGGCACTGAGCTGTTTGCGTCCAAAACGTAAATCATGCTTATTCTTTTCCTTTACGCCCCTGGTACAGCTATACAGGAGCAAATATATATGAAGAAAAACATCTGAATATCCCAAAATAAAAGTTAACAACATATGTCAGCTATATTATTCCTTTTTAACAAAATAAATCAAGACCAAGCCGCTTAGATTTTAATCCTGTAGCGGTGTTAGGCGCTGTTTGCCTTTCGAACAATCTGTTCAAAGTAAGCGCATTAGTTCAAAACTGAAAAATGCTTTTCTTAGAAAAGAAGGGTAAAGCAGCGTTCTTGACTAATTTTTTCTTTGTTAGATAAACTCTCAACTATATAACTGTCCTCTCTGCGATTTTACACCTCTGTAACAGTTTTCCTAAACTATTTTCAAGGAGAATACATCCTGGAAATGTTTTGTTTTCTTTTGTTTTGTTTTTTTCGTAGACATTTACGAATAGTCCATGTTCGTAAGAGTGAGAAATTTACACGCAATTTACCGAAACCAAGAGCAGAATAACGTTAAGAAGCACTTTGAGGAAGTCCCCCAGTCAGTGATGAAAAAAAGCGGGGTCTCCTTGTAACAAAGCTTAATCGCGTTTGCTTTTACGTAGAGACATACATTACGGGTTGAATGGCCACCCAAGTAATAAATTATTCATCGTCCCTGAAAATTCAATGACTCCCGGAATCAATTGCTTTATGGTAATTTTGCTTATCTACAAAAGCACAGTAACATTATTTTGTTCTGCACTAAGGTGTCTTGTTGTTCTTATAAAGAAAGATGTCTTCACCGAGAGAGCTAGAAGAAGCGTTCGATTTACCCAGCGATGAAGCTTTTGAAGAGGTAAACAAGTACATAAATGGAGTTTACAACATTCTGAAGCAGGAGGCGATTAAAGTTCGCAAGGAAAGGGAGACGTTCGATGACGTGGCGAAGAAGCTCGAACATGTTCACTTCTCGAAGATGCTGAAACTGAATGTTGGAGGCCGCCTTTTCTCGACAAGTTTGTCGACCATGAATAAAGATCCAGGTATCTTAGACAATGTATCTTAGTCGTTTCAAGGAAATAAACTTAGAATAACCCTGTTAGTATATGTAATCAAATGGCGACGAGTGAAATCAGGAAATAATTTCACGAGAAAACCATTTGATTACCTTTTAATTAATATCGTGGGTGACAAATTACGTTCACAACCGTAATTGTTTCCACTGGTTTATTCTATCGAAAACCATAAACATGAAGAAGAATATAGTTTTCTTTTAAAGCTCACATTATTGTTAAAGTTTGTAATTTTCTGAGTTTCTTCACAAAAAATACCTTTCGAATTCTTCGTGCCTGTTAATAATTTCCGGCCGCTTCTTTTCATTTCGTAACTTCTTCAACGGTCACCATCCTAAATCTCGATGCCATCTTTGCTCTGATCGAGATACAAGAGATGTTATCATGGTAATTTTATAATTTCACGTGTGAAATTAAAAACTAACGCTGAAATCTTGAGCCAAAATTAAGGATTAATTTGTCACCTATGATATTAAAAGCTGTTAAAGGATTGTCTAATCAATTCCAAACACTGTTATGGTGCCATAACGTTTCGAATCACTATGAGTGCCAACGAGAGTGAAAACGATGAAATAGAAGTCTGTTAGGGTATTAAAACAGCTAATAGGTAGGGAGGAACCGAAAAGCAACTTGGATGGAGGAGACTGGTACTGATTCCAATTTCCGAACCATTGAATAGATCCCTTGAAGATTTGTGAGCTTCTAAATTCGAGGGATTGCTCGTGGGAAATCAAACTTCTCCCATGTTAGCTGAGTATCAAAAAATGAAAAGAAAATATCAATTTTTGGAAGCGTATGTTAACTTCAAGAACAAATTGAATAAAGAAGAAAAAGAGAAGGCTTTCTCTACTAAACCATTGAAATATCGTATCTTAAAAATTCGGAAATATTTCGAGATGAATCAAACTCAATGCGATTTGTAAATATCATTTTTTTTTTTTAAGGTTCCATGTTACACGCCATGTTTTCCGGAAGATTTGACACCAAACCTGACGAGGATGGAACCTACTTCATTGATCGAGATGGAACCCACTTCCGGTACCGGTACCTTCTGAATTATCTTCGTACAGGGGAGCTTGTCGTCCCTGACGATAACACTGTACGTCAGGAACTGTTGATCGAGGCCAAATTTTATCAAGTTCAAGAGATGATAAAAGCGCTGACTCCACAACTCGCTTTCGAGGGGTCTGAGATCCTTTCAACAGGCCAACGCAAAACTTTGATAGAGTGGCTGAAGAACACCCCAGGCCTGGACAATGTCAGTGTTAAATTGCTATACAGAGCCTCTCGAGATGGCTGGAATGCATCCGACTTTCACTCCTTTTGCGATAACAGGGGACCAACAGTTACAGTGATAAAGAGTAAAAATTACATATTTGGAGGGTATTCTGAACATCAGTGGAAGTCGTGTGGTAGGTCTTAGTGATAGATATTTTCAAGTGTTGAATAGATCATGCATATCAATTGCAGCGAGACTATTTTAGGTAGCACCATTGTGAGCGAAGTTTGCGTTAGAGTAATTAGACGTTACAGTAATAGAAACAGCAAATAGTTGCATATATTTGAAGTTTTACCCTAAGAACACTTTGTATAGTTTACAAGGGTTACTTGAGCTTGTTTCCAGGGAAATCATTCAAATTATTCAATTTCAGAAACAATAAAAAGTAACTTCGACGCAAATTAACTCATGAGCTACGACCTAAACACATCTGGATGTTTGTTAGAGAAAGATCGTTAATCGCGCCTTTGAGAACTTGTTGAATTTGAGTTGCAGTATTTTGTGTGGACATTCAGGTCAAATTGCGTAACTTACTTTACTTGAACTTTGGAATTTCAACCAGCTGTGTACATAAAGGCGAGCGCTTGTCATGAGATTATTGCGTCATTTTGGCGCCTCAGTAACAGCCTATTATAAAACAATAACAGGAAAAGAATATTGTAGTAGAAGGTTTCCGCCTGTCATATTGAAAATGTCCTTGATCGAAGCTCACAGTTCTCCCTAAGCTTCGGAAAACTATTCCCATCTCGGAACAGATGATATCCACAAGCAATATCCTTGCATATTTTCGCGCCAAATGTTATTGTCTGTATATTTTGGTGCTAAACAGAGGCTATCATTTACCTATTTATATAAGCACTTTTATTCATTAGATTCTGGATCGTGCGAAAGGTCGCCAACTTCGTTCCTGTTCAGTCTTGTAAACCCAGGCGGTCTTTCACCAACAAAGATACTTCTGATTCCTGGAAACGAATCAAATGCTATCTATTGCCGTAGTAACTACGAGCCAACATTTGGAGGAACCATGCAAGAAGGCTATAAAGGAGCTGATAACATCAAGTCGTCATAAACTTGCAATATGGAGTGCAGTCTCAAGGGAGTGTCAAAGTTTATTACAACAACCACACAGAACAAAGGAAACTATCATAAGGAGCCAATTAGAACACAAAGTTAAAACAACCACACAGAACAAAGGAAACTATCATAAGGAGCCAATTAGAACACAAAGTTAGAACGCACAGCCTCCTTAGAGGTGCGGGAAAACGATGCGGTAAACAAGTCACGTTTGGTTTTTAGTTTTAGCGTATGATTGGTCGGGAGGATGACGTAAGTTTAGGGACCAATCAACTATCGCCTGGGAGTCGTAGGATTTTGGTTGTGTGCCATAAAATGTATGTACCTGATTTCCTCGTAGGGCTCTGCAGTAATCTAATGATAATCCTTTTTTGGCTTTCATAATCTCCCCTCCCCGTCTCCGACCCTATGGTGGTTATATGCTATTATTACACCACTCGGGCAGTCAGAGGGCCAATAACTAAAATCAACCAATCAAAATGCTCTATTGCCGGTCCAATATTTTCTAAGTATTGGACTGGGCACTGTCCCGAATGGCCCCGAATGATACCGCACTTGTGTCCCTTTGAACTTCAGTTGTATAATAAATCTCTTATTAACCAAGCTTGCTCAGGACCGTACTGGAAGAATATCGGCCCTCGGTCTTTTTTGTACGGACCTCGCTGCGCTCGGTCCGTACTGTCAAGACCTCGGGCCGCTATTCTTCCAGTACGGCCCTCGCGCTTGGTTAATAAGATATATGTACCAATCTTAATTTCTACGCAGATAAATGTCTCTAATATTTAAGAAAAATTTGAAGTACAAAATATTGATGTTAACCGGAAAAGCAAGTCCCCTTTGCAAATGTACGACTACTAAGCTTTTTAAAATAAATGTTTAGCTTTAGTTACCAGTTTTCTTTGGTGTGCCAATGTAATATGAGTAAATAACCCTCGAGGACAATGCATACTTTCTTGGGAGTGATCATAAGTTATGAAAATAATCCAGCTTCGCAACATTCTATTGCGTAGTCCCAAATAACTCTGCCGCAAATTAAACAAGTTTTCCATTTGCAATTAAAAAAATCTCATCCGTCCTTCACAAGGCTTCATCACCGTATTTTGTGTTATCATCCTGACAATATACATTTCATTTTCTTAATTGAAAGAAAGTTTGTTGCATTTTTGGGGATGAACCCTGTTTACTTTGAGTTTTCTCCGGTGACCCATTTGCACCCTCCCGCAAAACTAACTTAACGAGACAAGTAACAAATGAGTTGAACCGTGAAAAATGGTTAAAATTATGCATCTTTAACTTCGTTGTGAATAATTATTCGAGAACCAACTGGTCAAATAGCTTGAGGAATTGATTGTAAACAATCGAAAACTGCCAAAAGTTAGCGGTTTGCTTGTTTGGTAACTGCAAATGTAAATACTTTAAAGGTGAAGATGTACAAAGGAGTGAAGTGAAGAATGAACAACAACTGCGGGCCCGACAGACTTGACATGATACAACTGACATTGACGGAGGCTGTAACTTTCACTTTTAAAGGGTTGGTGCGAGGAATCACTCGTGCACAAAGGTGCTTATGATTTATTTAGGAAGCCAGTTGCTGTGCATTTGTCATTAATGGAGACAGGAAAGATTACGTGAAGGAAATTATTTGGTGGGGCATACAAATACTAAAGGGGTAAAGATAATCAAGCGCGAGAAATTTTGAAATGATTCGTGACGGAAGCAAACACTTTTAATCTTTAAGGGTTTGGTTCAAGGAATCACTCATTCGCAAATTATCGACTCTTATGCGTCGATATGCTTTGCTAAATTTTTAAAATAGCCAGTTTTAATTGTCTTTTTTAATGAATTCCACTGAGGAGAAAATTGCAGACTCGCATAATATAAAGCAAGTACGTTTAGCCCTTTGCTCTCTTAAATCACAATACATATTCTGCGGTTCTCTTTACATTTCCTAAGGCGCTGGCAACGAAACTTTGTTCGAAAATCAAGAGCTTCTTTTTCTTCTCGTGATCATTGTGATTGATCCATGTTGGAATTAATCACATATAAGATACACCATAAAGCAATTGTTTTCGATTTAACTAGATTTTAATTCAATGCAAAATAACTTTTTGAGGGAGCATTCATTATTTGTGGGAGGGGGTGTGCTGGCAAGATTTTCAGTGAGACTAAACAAAATATCCTGACCCTGCTCTACAAGAATAAAAAATACGTATGATGCACGATCCTCGCAGTAGAGAGCGCTATTTATGCAATAGCGAAAATCAGACCTGAATAAAACCAGGCC